ATAATATTATTTATGAGACAAATCTAGTAACAAACAGTTTTATATTTCTCTACTAAATTTCAAGCATTTATTCTACAGATAACATGTACGTTTGTATATCATCAAGAGAATAATAAATGTATTTGTGAATGTTAAGCTGAAAATTATACTCTAATCCTAACCCATTCATATCATTCAAGTAGCACCTTTTCGAAAATTTTAAAATACTTTTTCTCTTAGGAATGAATAACAAAAAAAATAACATCAGAGAATAAAACTTACAACAACAAACATAGACAAGCAACTGTTATGAATCTAAAAAGTTACATCATCAAAAACTATTGATTTGTACTTAGTCCCATCGTCATTATAGCTTGAAGATTCTATCTATTTTGGTAACAATTGGAAAAATATAAATAGAGGAATGTTGAAAAACTATGCATCTGATTCTTGAATGTGTTCAAATACTTTGCAGCTTTTTAGGCTAAGATCAAAGTATAGTGCATTCTCTCGTCAACTTGAAAGTTGGTGCTAGCTGAAAAAGTCACCCTCTATCGAACGAATTTTTGACACATGACGAAGACCATCTAAGTTCACTCAGATCTTCTATGTTACGGAAAACGAGAATGATAATATCATTCAAAAAATAAAATGAAAATTTTTTACACTTGAAATTAAAACTCATAAGAGGAAAAACCTATACTTTTATATCTATGAGTAAGAAACAATCTATACAACAATTATGTATAGTCATCGATCAGATTAGTAACAGTTTTCTTTTTGCATCAAAATAGTTTACAGATTAGTTTGAACTAAAGTCCTATCTTTCAATTCAATCAACGAAATACAAAACAAAACAAAGCAATAACTCTTTTCTCATATGAAAGTTCGACAGAACTCAAATTCGAACTCCTTGATTCTTTTCTAGTCCAACACCGTTCCAGAAATGGACGTCGATGTTATTTTCACGTCCTAAATTGTTCGAGTCGTTTGCTTTTCGTGTGCACGGCGCAAACGAACCATAAAAATCTAAATAAAATGATATTGAACAAACAGATATACAAAATACTTCTACAATATATATTCAAAACCTATAAACTATAGAATCAACATAAACCATTGTGAAATAATTGTGTATGAATGCTCAACAGTTATCTACAAGCTTTTATGATGATAGATTTATTGAATATGAAATGACAAAAATATGAGAAATATTTATTTTTATCATCAATGAACTTTTGTCATTCTCAGATTTGTTCATATCATAAGAATAATTATCAAAATCTCAACATTGTTCCCGCATCATTGCTCACATCATTCACATCTATGCTATATTCTTAGAATTTCTAGTGCATAACAAACAATATCACTTAATGGATTTATCCAACACTTTAGACAAACAAAATATCTCTTGTCTTTTTTACTATAAATTAAATTATTTGATGCAAGGGGGTGGGCGGGGTGAAAAAGACCATAAAAGGAAAAATAGTTAGGAAAAATAGTTGTGAACAAATAAATATGTTAATTAATTTTTTTTAGAATTCCCATGAAAGCAAAGCGCGCCTTATGAAAATTGTTTACGGCAGTAAATCCCGCGGCAGTAAATCCTGTACACGGGTCAGGTTCAATTGTATTCCTTAGCATGTATAATTCGCGGAGTTATCATGAAGCTTTCGAAACACATCTAATTCAGCAGTGGACTTCTTCATCGCTTAATATCACACAGAAATTCCAAAAGACCTCTATCGGCTGCAAGTGGAAAACATTTTGTTTAAAAAATTTCGAATTTTTGCATTTTTTTTCAAAATTATTGATTTTGTAAGTCATATATCTCGAAGGCAGAGCAATGAAACAAAATATTTTTTTTAACAATCGATAGCTTGTGAAGTTCTCTACAAATAATGTCTTCGGAGTTTTTCAGTCTCATGCTTCCTTTATTTTCTGTGGTCGTTCTACAAATGCGTCATATATGACCCATTGGGGGTAAAGGGTTAATGCTAATGCAAAAATATTAGCGTCATTTTTAACTTAATACCAACACGATACCCCTAGTTGTATCATTTTCTGGACAAAATGTTTTACAACGAGCACCACCTGTCGCACTTTAATAGGTCATACATTGTATCCCAAAGTAAGACACAAGCGACACGCTTTGTCTTAGTGTGAATAAAGATGTTGAATATGAATGGAACAGATATAAAAAATGGATTAACTGTATTGCTAACTGATGCGCACAAATAAATCGATCGACTCTAGTAACACTAGTCATCAGCTTCGATTTCATATTGGTCTCGATCGCTTTCAATATTAGGACTATATTAGTGCTATGTATCACATCTTTAAAACACTTAGTTTCACTTTCCAAATCATTCTCATAAATAACTTACATCAGGCAAAAAGTTGCAACCGAATGCTAATGAAAATTTCACGACGCGTTGCAGTCGACCTAGGTTATAATATGTATGCGACACTGTTTGTCTTTTTTCTCGAAAGGTTTTTTTTCTTACCCGTGGCAGATAACGACGATTAATTTTCTTATCTACCTGTTTTCTCTGTTATTACTTTACTCTATACGACAAAAGGGTGTGGGTGTGGGTGTGAACCTTCATATACCTCATACCAACACGCACACCCTATTTAGACCCAATGAGATATGGCAGTAAACCACTCGCTTCGTTGCTAGTACATCCCTGTGCCAAAGGAGTGTGTGGGTGTGGATATCCTCTAGTGATTTTTCTCGCTTGTTCTATCAAAATAACTCAGGCCCACACTCGTACTTTTGTGTTTCACTAAATTAGTCAATGAAAGTTCAACTGTTGATAATTAAATCAAGTATTACATAAATTATTGATGATAGTGAAGATTATATAGTTTATTACGAGTACAATAACAACAAAACATTTATATATCTGATTAAAATTTTAAAAAGCTACTAAAATTATTTTATTATTAACATTTACTAATTAGATTCGATTGCAAACTTAAATCTAATGGTTGATCATAATCAATTGCATCTGTTTCAGGTGTTGACTAAAACATTAAACATATGAAGAAAAAAAAATGAAAACATATGTTGCATTTGTTTTCTTACCGGTATTCCATACATTGTAGTTGTTGGTATAATAGAAGTAGTCGTTACCATTTGTGTAGTTGATGGTATCCGTGTCTTAATTGCTTTTCCTTACAAAATAAATAATCATAGTATTAATGATCTAAGCAAAGAAGATTTTTTCTTTTTGTTACCTCGTTTACGTGTTAAAACTAAAGAAAATGATGTTCGTTTTCGTGGACATAATAACTAGTAAGAAATATTTTAATGAATAAAGTATATTTGAATATATATATTTACTGGTGTATTTTTAGATAGATTATCTTTAAAAATACCATTTTCAATTAATTTTCTTTGAATTTGTTCATTCGTCATTTTTATTGAGTGTCTTTGTCGTTTTAACTTTTGTTTTATTTGTGCTAAATATAAAACATAGTAAAAACAAAAACAAACATATCTTTTTCTTTACCATAATACTCATCGAGCCTTATTAAACCAAGACCATGAAGAAAACATTTGATCTAGATTAAAGATAATAAGGAATTACTATTTTATAATTATATTCTTTCATATTTACTTCTTCTGGATCAGCACCGGGAATAAAGTCATTCTCCATTTATCTAAAAACTATAGGATTTAATCGTATAATGACAAAAGAACATTCACAAAAATCTATTCCTGTTAAGGCCTTTCTCAAATCGAAATGTGAAAATCAATTTTTCTGGACCACAGTATTCAATTAAAAAATACCCTAAAAGTATAGTATCTTCATAGTAGTAACCGAAGCGCACGAACTCTTTTCAGAGTATTCATGTCTCATGCAAGTCTACATAAAATCATCAAGTCTAAATCTGTGAGGGAATAGCGATCATAGGAAAAATATGCGGCTCTAGTGGTCTTTCACATATTAGCAAAATATGCAGGCAAATAGAGTGACTTATTTAGTAATCTTTCCTTATGAGTAAAAATAAAAAAAAGAATTCTTTTTTTTCAAACACATTTGTTTATTGAAAAAAAAATACCAAAAAAAGAACAAAACTATAACTTCAATCTTCTAGTTCTTCATTATCAGCAAATGTATAATTTTCTCTAATTTTTGCTGTTTTTCCATATTCAAATTGTTCAACACCATAAGCATTTGACATTAAATTAGTTCGTTGTGATAAATCATCATTTTTTAAATGACCAAATATAAAACCATTGGCTTTATCAATTGTATTATTTACTTTTTCAATACTCAGACGATCTTGAACATTTAATGGTATATATGAAACAAGACTATAATCTTGTATTATATCACATAATGCTTTATTAAATTTTCTATATTTTTTTGCAAATTTTGGTTGAAATTTATCTTTATTAAAATTTTTATTTTTCATTAAATAAGATAAATCTAATATTTCTGTATAAAAATCAATATTATATTCTAATGTACCAAATCTTTCAATAAGATCAATTTTTGATAATATATTTACATGAGGTAATTCTAAATGTAACATCATTGATAATGATGTTAATAAAGCACTTATAAAATTTGATGAATTTGAACAATAATATGAATCAATTAAATTAACACAACAAAGTCTTAAATCAAGATTTTTTAATAATTTTTCAATTATTCGATGTATTGAACCATGATGTGTATAAAGTTCAATTTGTCCTGGACAATCAAAAAGAATATATGGTGGAGATAATATTGATGAATGTTTATTAATTAATAATTGAAGACGTTTTAATAACCAATCAATATTATTTTCAATATATTCAATACAATACATTAATGAACCATTTGGACCTAAATTAAGATTATCACAAACATCATCAACTGTTATTAAATCAACTAAATCTATTGCACATTCATATGGCATATCAACATTAGCTGCATCTAAATTAACTATATAAATATGACGACTACTCGAATCAGTAATACATTTATTAAAATAATCTTGTATAGCTGCACAATATGTTGTTTTACCTAAAGACAAAATGATCAAGTTTTATTATGAGAAAAAAAATAAAATTGATTTCTTTAATCATCATTACCACTGCCTGGTGGACCCACAACAATTTGACCGAAGACAACTGTCATTTTATATTTAATCTAAAACCATCTATAATCTTGTTTCTTTCACCCTCTATTGATAAATAATCAATAATGAAAATACATAATGAATTTTTATTCTTCTTTTTTTTTGTTTTTTTTAATATGCACGGACAAGAACAAAAACAACAAGAAAGAAAACGAAAAACTTGTCAATATGTCAAAATAAAATAAATAACACAAATGAAATTAATGGAATCATAATGAACAACAAATACTGAATAATGACTATAATATTCATTGTTCAGTTTTCGTATAATAGACTAGAGAAATAGACGTAACATAAGAAGAAAAAAAAAATGAGACTTTTCTTTTCCTTCTCAAAAAAAAACAAAAAAATAAATAAAAACAAATTATGTATAAGTAGTTTCACAATAAATAATTAAATATATATATAAACTTTTTTCATCCATCACCAATAAATAAAAACAAAAACAGAATGACTAGATACATTGTACAAAACAGATGAAAATATTATTCAATCAGATCTCGATTATTCATAAAACGACGAACAGATACATTTATTGGTAAATGAAAATCAATTGAAGTTAAACGATCAAGTGAATGTAATGCATCATGAAAACCTTTTATATATATATATAAAAACTTCATTAGAACGAACAAATTATATAATTTTCTACCTGTTGTTTTTGTATAACTCCAAGATTGATAATAATTTTCTATCAATGGTACTGTCTTAAGAATAATACGTAAAAATGAAACAAGTTTTTTTTCACTAAATAAAATCATTTTTTTAAATATTTAATCAAGAAAAAAAAATTTATCTATTCAATATTTTACTTTAAGGCATAACATACAAATGATTTAAAACAACTATCCATTGATTTATTATGTTTTTCATGTAATTTAACAATATTATCAATACCACTTAGAAGACACTAAAAAAACAAAAAAACAGTCGAATTTTAGACTTCAGAAAATGAATTTAAAAAAAAACAAGAGTATTATCATACTTGTTTTATGGTAATTGGTTTACCACCAACGACATCCAAGGAAAATGATTCGGAAAGTTTACGAGCTGGACTATTAGCAAATTCATTTCCATGCTAATAAAATAAAAAAAAGAAATTATTATTTAATTTAAAATAACACTAAAGTTTAACATAGAATTCGAAAATCAATTTTATTATTGATATAATTCATAATATATACTCAACTAAACATATGCTGAAAAATTGAATCTAAAATCTGAAGAATGAGTTGCTCATTCAGAACTTTTGTTCTATGATTTTAAGCAAATTATATCAATTGGAAAATAATTTGATATAAAAATAAATTCTGGAATAGTTTTTTCTAGACTGAAATCAAAACAACTTGTCTATGATATAAATAGTTTAAGTAGTGACGTTGTGAATTTTTCTTACTTTCATATCATAATATTTTAAAAATAATTTCCAAGCATGCATTGTATCATTAGCAGCTGAATAATTAGCTCTTGTAGAAAAACAACCCCAAACTGCTAGAGCTGTTGAATAATTTGTCTTAGAAGAAGAAAAAAAAATAATTTTTTTTTTTTTGTTGTTGTAATTTTACTTCATAAAGACCATGTTCAAGTAATGCACGTAAAGCTGGTGCAAGATCTTGTCTAACAGCTAAAACAATAGCATTTTGCTCATAATCTTCCTAATTATAAGAAGAAAAAAACTTAAATTTTTACGAAAAATTAAATTTTCAAATACAAACCTCTTCATTATCACTTGTTGTAATTGATGAATTATCATCATCACCATTATCTCTATGATTATGTCGTGAATATGTATTTGTTAATCGTACAGTACTAAGAAGTTTTTCAATAGCTACTTCAAGTTTAGCTCGAATATCACTAAAATATTTTTTTTATTTAATTTTAAATAAAAAAAAAAAAAAAAATTGTTCCTATACCCGAAATGTTTTTTAGCAACAATATCTTTTTTCATATTTGGTGTTGGTTGATTTGATTTTTTTTGCATTGATCTTGTACCACATGTTAATAATAAAAATGTATATAGTTGAGTTAATATAAGAACTTTTTTCATTGTTTGAGAAAAATTTGTTTGATTATCAGAAGTTAATTTATTTGTTGTTTGACGCATTTTTAATGGACTTGATGTTGTTGTTGTCCGATTTGATTTATTTGGTGAAGATTTCGATGATTCAATAGTTTTTTTATCATTTATTAAAGAAGATGGAGCAGCTGTCGCTGCTGCTGCTGCTGCTACATTAGCAGAATCAGCTAAAATATAAGAAATAAAATAATGATTTGACAGGAATTATTCATTTTCTCTGTTGTTGTACCTTTAAGAAATTCAATAAATTTTTCAAGATCATTTATTTGTGTACGCATTTGTGTTATTAAATTCTCTTTTAGTTTTACCGGATTAGTTAACTAAAAAATTTTTAATATAAAATATTATTTTAGAATAATCGAAATAGCTTTTTTTAACTATCGTAAAAAAAAATACATGGCAAATGTAATAAATTTAGTCTCCTATATATTTTATCAATAATAGAATGACGATTAATCTGTCTATTCATTGAAATATGAATAAAAGATTTATGAGTAAATACTTGAGTAAATAGGTAAGTAAATCACCTTGCCAATTAAGATAAATATATATTGTAATACATATAAAAAGAAAAACGAAGAAAACAATTTACCTGATGAATAGCTTGATCAACAAGTTTTCTTAATTCTTCTGCACTAAAAATAAAATTGAAAAATTGTTTTTTTTTTTTTTCGTCTAAATCAATACATACGATAATTTTGAAACTGAAGCATCATCTAATTGTAAATCAAGTTTTGTACGTAATTGATCAATAAGTACACGTTGTTTTTCCATTGTTACAGATGTTGGTGCACCTTCTAATGAACCAGATGCAGCTGCATAATGTTCTAATTCATCTAATTTTTGTTTTAATTCATTAATAAATTCTTTTTCACGTAATTTTTCATTTTCAATTAATTCTTCATTTGTACGATCAGTTGTATACATTGATGATTGACACATAACATCAGGTATACCACTTGAAGCAAATTCATGTAATTCTATTAGTAAATTCTAAAAACAAAATTTAAATATTTATATATATATAAATTAATATTCATACTTCACGATCTTCAGTTGTTGGTGCTGAAACAACTTGCTGAAGACGTAATTGTACATGTGCAAAATGACGAGTTAATGCTGCAAGTGATGCATTTAATCGTTCATGTTCTTCAAGTAATGCTAATTTTTCATAGACTTCTTCATTAGCACTAAAGATAAATTTTAAAAAAATGAAATTTCATTGTTTTTTTTTTTTTAATTAAAAAATCAAATGATTCAAGATAAAACCTTTTTCCATATTCAGTATCCGATGAAGCACCACCGATCGGTGTTAATCTTCCCGTCATTGGTAATTTTTCATCACTTGAATCTTCTTGTAGCATGTTTCAGATCAAAGAAGAAGAAAAAGAATGGAAAAAAAATATCTCATGTACTCACGTACATCCGCCTACGCATAGCAATGACGTAGATCGGTCTAAGTAGTAAATTAAATGTCTGATAGCGCTGTATTATATAATTGAAAAATAAGTATTTAGAAATTTTTTCTTGAAAGATATTGATTTATTTTTATCGAAAAATTTGTATTTTATTTTTTTTATTCTTGTCAAAGTTCAATTCTACAATAGATGTCACTGACTTATGATCTAATCGTAGGAATCTCGATTTTGAAATCATTATGGTTAAAAAAAAAATTGCAGACATTCAAATGAGAACAAATTACACAATCTCTATTGATCGTGATGTGAACAATTTGACAACGAGTTAGTCTCGTGTATGTGTTGTGAATATCAATCTCGGTCAATACAGAAACATGTGACAAAACAATTTTTCATCATAAAATGAAAACTTATAAGAGTTTTTGAATGTCATTTAAATGAAATATAGTGAGTGTTTCATTTATCGAATTCAAACTTAGTAACATATAATAGACAAGCAGATCAGAAAAAATTCACCACTAGCGTTTGAAAACGTGCATTTGAAGAAACATGTTGAATGTTTATGTTCATCGAAATACTAACCTCGAACGAAAAGTATTTGAGCGTACTACCCAACTCTCATGACTCCGTTATCTATTTATCTGATATTTTAATGGACTGAATCAGTCCGAAGAAAGCCGGCCCATGGATTACTTATCTAATCGTATTGGATTAGTTTTTAAGATATGAACAGGCAAGCATATTACGAGTATCGTAGTCACGCTTAGTTCATTAAGATCTCTAAACTCTACCTTCTCAGTAGTTGATATCCTAGAACCTAATATGTTGTAATGTATACCATCGTTTTATGCAATTTTCGATTGTAAATAGACGCAGTATTACGACCGTGTTTTATTATACCGTACACAATTGATAACAGTCATCAAGTGGTCTAAAATTCAAGTATATTGGACTTTTACGATCGTATTTATTTGACTTACGATATTAACATATTATATTCTGTTCTGTTCTTCTCATTTGAATGATATCAATATGCAACATTATTTCTTATCATAGAGAAAATTTAAAGATTAATTGATATGAAAGTGACATAAGAATTGAATCACATAACTTTATTGCTTTAATCCAATGAGCATATAGATCTAATCAGATTTTGATATCTTTTGATTTATCAGGACAATATTTTTGATCATAAATGTGAAGGTCGTGAAAGCGGCGGGGGGTGTACGCCTACCCAATCTTGAGACCTTTACGCGACTTCTATACAAATATGACAACAAATACAAATAAAATAAATAATAATTTAAGATTTGTTTTCTTTTTTCTACCTTGTTAACTTTCCACTCAAGTCTTTTGTTTTTTTATTCTTTATGTTTGGCAGGGGCACACCTCCATATGTGTACACATCATATAAATTTCTGCTCTATAGCTTTGTGTACATGATAAAACGAAGTTTAATTTGCGTAAATATTTAAACAAAGAATAAAAATTATGAAAATTTTTTCTCAATCAATCAAAATGTATCAAATAAATGAATAATTCAAGTTGAACAGTAATTCTTAATATAAATATCCATAGAAAAGAAAAGACAAGAGCAACATAAAATAAGAAAAAGAAATAATTTCATTTATCTTTTGACTTTTGTTATCAGAAGATAAATAGAGACAAAAAAGAAAGAAAAAACGTAACTACAGCATATAGATATAAAACAAAAAAGTCATGGTGCAAATATCACAAGACACATTGCCTATTCTTGTACTTATTGCTGTCATATTAGCAGGTGTAACATTTATTGCAGTTACAATTGTTATTATTTGTTTATTATGTATTAAATATCGTTCTTCAAAAAAATCTACTGATGAAGAACATTTGTCAACAAAATCTTCTACTACTCATAGTGCTCGTTCGTCACCTGCTCCTTCATCGGCATCATCATTATCAGAAGTATCAGTTAGATCGAATTCAACAAAAACTCCTGTAGTGACAATTCCTAGAAAAAAACAACGACCACCATCAGTGCCACTATCAGATTATCGTTCCGATAGAATTTCTGTTATAGATGAAGTTTCTTCGGATGATGAAACCACACATAAACAAGTTATTAAACATGACAAAAAACACAATACGATAGTTAGAAATGATAGTCAAGTAAATACTCAACGTTATATACAAAGACAACAACAAAAACAAGAAAAACCAATAAAACCAATAACAGATGTTCGATTTATTGATCGACATACACCTTATCCACCTGATGTTATTGAACGTGAACGATATATGATGGCTAATCGTGGATTTCGAAGTACATATGATCAATAATATTAACAATTCGTTTTCTTTTTTTTTACAAACAACATGACAATTCTTGAATTGACTCAATTAATTGTGGTCGCTAAAAAGAAAAATAAAACACATATATTTAATAATAAAGATATTTTTCTAAAATAAAATAAAATAATACATGAATTCAAACAATTATTCTGTTTGATAAGAATAAAAGTTCGATTAATAATTCATTAGTAGTTTCAAAAATATAAACTAATACAAATAGATGTCCACCAGAACAATTTAAAATATGAGTTTAAATATATATTTTATGATATTATCCTCTCTTCTCTTTTCACATAGAACAATGGCCATCAATAAAACTATTTTCAATATATTTAAAAAAATGATTATAATCAATTATTAATAATACAAACCCGTTTACAATAATCAATAAAATCGTTTACTGTTATTTGCTCGGTGTGCATTGGATCAATACGCTAAAAAAAAAATCACAATATTAAACTTCAAACTAAAAACTTTTCTTGTACTTTGAAGTCAAACAAACGCAAGGTAAAAGATAAAAAGAAAAACCTTGTGTTTGATTTTAGTTGTTTTTATCTACTTGATAATTATTTTTCAGAATGAAAAGGTCGACTATTTGCGAAACACATTTCTTCACTATTCTATAAAGAATTATAATGAGATATTATTGATATACGATCTATGATGGTCTTTGACTAGCAATCTGTTATGAGACTGTAGAGATTCAAATTTTTTACTCCTATACTTCAATACTCATTTGAGATCATGTTTTACAAAAGTCTTATTGTTACATACTTCAAATATTTCATCGACATGTTTTTGAATTTCATGTTCTTGAATAGGTGTATGACTTGATGGACCAAGAAGTTCACTAAGTGACAAAAGGATTTCATTAAGATTCTAAAAATATATATATATGATATTGTGATATTCATTATTTAAGAAATTATTCTACTGTTCTTGTTAAATGTCCTTCACCATGAATATCATAGAAACGAAAAATCCATCGTAATTTTTCATCAATTGTACCACGACATAGAACAGATAATGTTAGAATATAATCCTAGAAAATAGGAAAAAAATTAATTACTAACAAAAAAAACCAATCTTATGAAAAGTTACATCAAATGTAAATGTTCCTTTATGATTTCGATCAATCATTGAAAATAGATAACGAGTATATTTAATTGCATCTATGAGTTAGCATATTGATAGATAATTAATAATTCTTTTGATTTTATTTATTTATTTATTTATTGCTTACTGCCTTGTGGAAAAAATTGTAAATAAATTCCACGTAATCTTTCTTCATTAACATTTCCACCTGGACATTCCTTACAAAAATAAATAATAAGAAAATCAATAAAAAATAAAAAATAAAAACTAAATTCTTTCTACTTGTTTAAAAGTTCGATAAAGAAGACGAATTTCAGATTTTGAAAAACGTGTACATTTCATTATTTCTTCAATTGATCGAGGATGTTGAAGATTTCTTGAAAGTAATGCATCCAATTGTGCATCTAAATTATATATACGAAAAAAAAAAACAAAAACAAAAGAAAAATCAATATAAAATATTATTTTGTGTTTTATATTTTCTATAAAAAATATATTTAGCTAAAAAAAAAGAAGAAAATAGATGACTTAAACATACCTTTAGTCAATTTTTTACGTTTACCAAAATTAAAACTACTCTGTCCATGAGAAAATGCAGCTATATTAGCACCCATTGTTATTATTAAGCACCATGGGCATCATATATAAAGAAACAATTTTGAGTAACTCAACATTTACACATCACTATCTTTATCCTTTTCTTTGAATTGACTATGGCTTTCGTATATGATCAGATGAGATCGATAGATGATGACATTGAAGACGAGCGATTGACATTTTGATCGCTCTTTTCAATTATATGATCGATAATTCTACATAAGTATAGACATCCACACATGTGGATTATCCGACTAGATATTTTTATACGAATGACAGTAGAATATATAAAAAAAAAAGGAAGAACAAGAACAAAAGAAAATCTCCGATCAAACGTCTGTTTCCAATTGGAGATCTACTATATTATCAATAATGTTATCTAGTATAATAAATGACTTTTATCGTAAATATACAATTTCTAAGAAGAATAAATAACACGTCATACTCTTTAGGATATAAGAACATACTTAGTCTTTCCATTATGATTAACAGCAATTCATATAGAAACAAATATTATTCCTATTTATAAATATTTGGTAATTATTACAAAATTTTGATGAGATATTTGGAAAAAAATAAGCAATAACATCATCTATCAATGAATTCAACTAACTGAACCAGATGCAACTCATTCATATTCGAGCTATTTTCAATAATTGAATTATCATACTAATGAGATAAATTCTATTATAAAAAAAAAATTTCTCTAACAACAGAATTGTTGTGATCGTCTCAAGATTCGGAAATGAATATGTAATTTTTTGAAAGAAGGTCGAATTTATGTTGTTAGATTTTCTACGAAAAAGAACATCATCAAGTAATTTCCTTATATGAATGATTTCAGAATGTGGACTTCGTGACGATCAAGAATAGGAACAATCTAACTAGCGACATTTCTGTAGAACAATTTAAATTATATATATATATATTTTTTTTTGCTTTCTAATTAAGTAAAAATATTTCAAACACTTTCTCTAGTTTTTCGTATAAATGAACTAAGACAATCAGCTTTCGTTGACTATGAATAGAATCAAAAATCTTCATCATAGTATTATTTTAATTTCTGTCTTTTGATAAAAATACAATAGGAAAGAAATAACTCATAGAGACGAATGAATGAAAATATTTGTATTCAACGGAGTCAGATGGCATACAAAAAAAAAAAAAACAGCCGAATACATATTCCGATCATGTTATAACTCTTGCTCATAGTGCTAATTTCTTTTTCTTTCCAGTCATTGCTTCTTATTCTTTCTTGATTGCTTTTGTTTTCCGAGATTATCTCTCTACTATATAAACTTGTTATGTGTATCAAATAGAGACATTTTAGAGAAATGAAATAGGTCAATAAAAATCATTAGTACGGGTAAATGGTAAGCTATACGTTTAATTTGTAATCATTTGTCTTACGATTGATATTTTTTTTTTCATTTGACTTCCGAAAAAAAAAAAAAAAAGAACATTACAATAAAGAAGAAATACAATTTACTTGCAATTATGAATGTTTTGTTTTTCGATACTTAAAAAACTACTACTACTCATCAATCATAAATTTTCTGTATTGAAAATACAAATGTCAACAAATAAATAGAATCAGAAACTCATATATTATAACTAATGTATAAATAAAAAAAAAACAGAAATAATTTTCTTGAAAGAATATTTATACCTGATGTATGTATACGACGAACAGCTCGAAATATTCCAGTACTTAAACGACGTGAAAAACGTTTACAACTTGCGATAATACGAGATGTTCGTCGATCTGTCGTAAGTAATGTTGAATGATACCAAGACATAACTGATGTGTATAGAAATTATCTAAAATAGTAATATAAATAAATATATATATTAGTTTTATTTATCTTTATATTGACTATTTTCTATTATTAATGGAATAAGTCTTGCTAACTTACACTTCTCTTTTTCATATGTTATTATATTTTGTGTTTATACAAGAAACAAATGATAGAGAACAAAAGAGAAAAGGAAAAATATAAGGGCGACCGTCAAAAAAAAGAATCTAAGTGTTTTTCACATCTACTAATGCTTTATTTCTTCTTTTTTCTGGCGCTTCCTTTTTTTTTCTTGAATCTGTTTGATTAGCTATCGTCATTTTCTCTACGATTGAATCTGTGTACGGAAATATTTAGATGAAGATGGGTTTTAGTAGTCAAATTATTGCGACTTCATAAAGTATTATATTTATCGATTTTTTTTCCCCCTTCATATATAGATATATATAAATGCAATTAGTATATTGTGATTTTATAGAAAAGATTTTTACATGATTAGCAAACATATCATTGAGTAAATTTTTCTACTATTGATTTTAAAATAGAATAATTTTTCATAGGAATATTAGAGAGACCTGCGATTTTCATTGGTCACTTAATGGTCAATTACGCAAGATTTTGAGAACAGTTTTTCAAAAACAATATTCTAAATCGATTTACATCTTGGATTAGGTTTTGATTTAGACTAATTAATAGAAAAAAAAAATATTTTCTTTTAATCTAATTAAAGTCGATATTTGTACCTTGTTCCGTTCGAGAGTTATAAGATTTTTCTAGAGATCTCCAATTTCAGCTAATTAATATGCGATCATCCGGAAAAACATCGAGACAGGAATAGATCATTATGATAAAGAGTGAACTGTTTCTACTGATAAATCATTTTTGATTTCAAATCCTATGTATAAAATAGATTCTAATGAAATATGAAACATTTCAAAAGAATCAATGCTGTAAGACGTTCTCTTCAGAATAATAACCATTTGTCTAGAATGTTACCTTATGGCATGGTATGTACCAACAAATTGAGTTACGATATTTTGATCTAAAATTTTGCCTATAAGACTACTTTTGACTAGAACTTTTTTAAAAATTTCAGCTTACATTTCAATATAATGAATATAACTTCCGACGAAAGGTCTAAAGATATCTATCGTTTTGGAATGTTTTACATCTCAACGAGTTCTACCTTTTATGCATAGAGTTCGATGTCAAATGGTTTTTCACTTGATATGGTTACCTCATTAGAATACTGCTGTCGAAAATCTCCATCAAGAACTTACCTGATTAATACTTAACTGATCAAGAAAATTTTGATACACTTTAATATTCCGATAAAAACCCAGTGAAGCATACTATATTTTGAAATGAATAGAAAAGATAGATGTTGATTCATAATAGCAAAGAATAAAAAAAAAAACAATCTTTGCTTGTTTGTTTTATAGAATAATTCAATATTCTCCAATGAAAATGAAAACGTATTACTATAAGACTAATATAATCTTTTAGGCTATGTATTGTTCTAAATTCTTAATCTATCCTAGAAGGCGTATATAATATGACGAAGTACGGTTTTTTTTTTTGATAACATATTATTAGATTTGAGAAAATATCATGTCATACGGTTAGTTTTGTTGATGTGTATTTTCTTTATTTGCTTATGAAGATAAATTACTACAAACTACATATATATATATATAATATACACAAGTTAATGCATGATTATATTAGACGCATGATAAAATAGATTTTGAATTATAAATATATTTAATATTATTTATTAATTAGAAGAGTTTTTTTGATTTAATCTTCTATTTTGAAAATCTTGTTGTTTTGGATTATAATAAGTCATTGGTTGATGTTGTTGTTGTTGTTGTTGGTTTTTTGAACGATTTATTTGAAATGGTTTTTGATTTGATTTTCTTTTATATGTTAAACGACAATGAAATAGATCACAAAATGCACGTCGATATTTATTTGAAATAACATTATAAAGTATTGGATTAATAACTGAACCAAAATAAAATGTTATACCTGATATAACATATAAATAAGCCATAAAATTTGAAAATAATGATAATTCAATATTAAAATTTGAATATAATGTTATTATAGCCAAAAGTAAACGTTGTAAATATAATGGAGCATAACAAACAAAAAATGCAATAACAACAGCCACTAAATATAATTTAGAAAAAAAACAAAAACGTAGAAATTAGATAAATAATAATAGAATATATGAGATAAAATAAAGTGGGCGTATATGGAATTAGGATTAACAACATTCGAATATATATAGATCTGAATATAGATCAAAGGTTAAAAAAAAGCTTTGATAGACTGCCGTTAGGTATGAAAAAAATAGTGCTGTTTTATTTAACATGAAAGATTTTTTATTCGTTCTAACGAAAGATTTTGAATAAAATATGATTGATAAGATCTAAAGATAGACTTGATTTTGTATTCTTGTTTCTCTTCTTGAAACAAACTTATGCTTGAATACTCTATTAAATAATTACATTTATTTTTAGAATATTTTATATATCTTACCAAGAGTTTTAACAACTACTTTTCGAGCTTTACAACGTGCACGCATTTTTAACCATGAATATGAATTAATATGTGGACTTTGTTGTTGTTGTCTATCTTGTACATCTCTATTTGATAAACCTGAATGACATGAATTATTATCAATAGATTTTTTTAAATTTATTCCATTATTTGATACTGATGATATACTAATTTCAATTTGATTTGAATAAATTTCATATTTATTAACATGACGTAATGCTTTACCAATAAATAAATAAATAGCTCCAATAATAATCATTGGAAAATAAAAAAAACAAAATGATGTTATTATAATAATAAATGATAAAATTTTTGTAAGACTTTTTTTTGGTATACATGATTTACAACTATATGATAGATCTTTAATTAAAGAATTTGTTTGAATTAATTTTGTATTATTATTTATATAAACATATGTTGATAAATTATTTGTTACAATTTCATAAGATAAACCAAGTGGTAAACTAAATCCAATTGATATTAATAAAATAATAATAATTATATTTTGTGCACGACGAAAATGACTTAAATGATGAAGATGTACAGGATGTACAATAGCAAAATAACGTTCACATGTAAATGCTAAAATAGTTAATATAGATGAACAAGTAAAAAATTCAGCACATATATTTCTTAATTTACAAAATATTATTGATAATGGCCATTCACGATTATATATTTCAAGCATTTCTAATGGTAAATTACACATTAACATCATTAAATCGGAAACAGCTAAATTTAGAAGATAATAATTAGTTGGTGTACGTAAATGTGTATTATAAATAATAATAAAAATTGTCATTATATTACCAACAAAACCAATTGTAAATATTAATGAATAGATAATTAATATAAGTTGTTCAATAAAAAATGGATTCGAAAAAGTACCTTGATATATTGATGGACATTTATTTGTATTATCCATTACAAACATTTTCTTTTTCTTTTTTTTATCAATTGAAAATTTAAATATTCTTATAGAATATTTTCATTCAATTAAATATAATCAATTAAGTTCTAAAACATAATGATATTCTATATTAGACTAGAGCATTTTCAAGGTCAACAAATATATAAGAAAATCTTTTGACTACATAATTATACTCTGACTAGTTTTTATTCTCTTACAGATTAGAGTCTTTGACATACCCACGCATAGGATAGCGAATCCAACAATTTATCATAGACCTAAACAAGAAAAGAACAAAAAAAAAAGAATAGATAGTCATCAACGAATGTACTCATGATACTATTTGAAACATGAAAAAAAAACCGACCATACACTTTTAACTAATTTATATAAATATATTAATAAAAGAGAAATGCTTATTATCGATTCATATTAATTGTAAGATTTTAAAAAATAAAAATTAAACATAAACTTCTAAATGTAATATAAAAAAAAAATAGATCTATATGAAAATGAATAGATTTTCAAAAAAAAAAATAGACGTCGTAATAGAATAATATTTCAACTATCTGTTAAGAATGAACGAAAAGAAACAACGACGAAAAAAGATAATTACATCACAACGATGCACTCGATCGAAGGAAACAACAACTAATTGCATTTGCCTTTTACGCCAAACAAACGTTTGTTAATAGAATAAAAAAAAAAATTCTATAATCACAAGTATGGTCTATCTATTGTTCACTTGATGTTACAACACATATATATATACTAAAAAAAACCTTCACTTTTTCTTTTTGCGGAAGATTGACTTAAAATATTGATTGTGCAATTATTAAAATAGCAAGTGCAAAATAAAAGATGCATTATAGAAAAATAAATTCAATATATAATGCGTTTTTCCTTTTGTGCTATTTCAATCGGATAAAACAGTATATACCCTAGATATGAAGTCCCCTAGAGTGTTTCGAATTATAAGATTATTACTAGTTAATATGTTCAGATAGTATGATAGAGAATATTTTATTCTAAAAAAGCCTTGAATTTAAAGAATAGAAATCCTCTATGGAGACTAGTTATTTTAAAAACTATTAAAACTAATTTTTATCATTTGGTACAAATATGTTAGTATGTGAAAAGTGTTAAATAATTTTGGTTTCAATTAAATAAAAATGAAATTTCTTCAGGCATTGTCATACGACAGTACTAATTCAGTAGAAATTTTTTTATCTGACAATATCTTTTTCATGTTCATTCTTGAAGCTTCAATCATAATAATTCTTAACTTACTTTTGACAAGAAAAGAAGTATAGGTACGATCGTCCTCAGGATTTTTCTTACTTTCACGTTTATGAAGTTTACTTTCTTTGTTCATTTTTAAAAATGAAAAGATTTTCTCTAGTCATATATATGTTATAACTTAAACTTTTATTCACTTTTCAGTTCAATATTTCCTTTCGACGGCAATAGACGATCACTGCTTTAGTATTATTATTAATGAAAGGAAAAATGCCATATAACAAAAAAAGAAACCACTATTCTCTATATTTTAGGTCAATATAAAAATAACCATGTTCTGAATGATTTTTTCCTTATGAAAAGATGTATGTGAACACATGTAATTAATTTAGTATTTATTCAATTATATGCTGCTTTTGTGAATTTGTTGAATTTTTATAAAAGAATTTATCTGTACTTGTATATTATGAATAAAATTAGGAAGAAAATGAATTAATATTTAGTACTTAAAAGATTTTCTTTTAATCATAGACCAATAAACAAATATTTGAATTCGATGACATCAAATTCTATATAGTTGATTTGTGCACAAATAAGCTTAACTAAATACAAGCATTTATTTTCCATAATCCTTAGGACGAAACTGTGAATTTTTAATTATTTAGTTGTTGTTTTGTGTTATATTTATCATGTCTACTTCTTTAATTATTTATATGAATAGTCTAGGTCTATGTGTTCAAATTAACATTGAAAACATTATGCTATTTTTATCATGATATCTTATAATAAGTGTAATCTTTTAAGACTATTGAATAAATAACAAAAAACTATGAAGAATACTTATTTTTCTAGCTCGAATAAATCTTTTATTTAAATATAATCTTAATATTTCTATAAATTTTCTTTAAAGCTTTAGTTTAAAAATATTAATCAATGTTATTTTTAGTTATGTAAATTCGACAATTTTAAGTTAATAGAATAATGTGTTTTTCATGTATCAAGACTATAACATATATTCAAATCTTTTCTAACAATGCAATAGACATCAACGAAAAAAAAAAACCTTAGTAAGTTAATCTATATCGTGACTTTTACAATTTGTCTACATGCTAAAGTGTATACTCGAACAGTTTTCATGGATGAAAAGAATTATTGTTTTAATGATAGGATTTCTTCTCTTGAGAATTCAAAGAAAATGTCAAGATGTCATTTGACTTTATAGAATTGTAACATTTTTCAGAATCAAGAAAAACAAAAAACAAAAAAAAGTATATGAAAAGAAATGTACTATTAGAAAACTAAAAATATGATTTTTCATTTCGAACAATACTAAAAACTAATAATTAAAAATAATATTCTAAATTGTACACATAAAACTAATTTAATTAACCAAAAAAAAAAAAAAACAAAGCATTCATAATAGTTCACATGATAATTTTCATTGACATATTCTTATCAATCATTTTTTTTCTTCTTCTTCAAAAAAAAACTTGTTCATTACACTATTAAATAAGACTCTTAATGAGTAAGAAATAGTATACGACTATTTTTTGAAATAGTCACGCAACTAATTCAATATAACATACCATTTTTGAATAAATTAAATTCCTATGAAGATTTTATCAATCGAACACTCAGCTTCTGAATTGTGATATTAAATGACTATTCTCAGAAAAAGAAATCACCATACAGTTATGTCTTGTGGTTTACTTAGCTTAAAAGAACATTATGTTAATAAAAAAATGAGAATTCATCATTGACATCTGTCAAACTATCAGTAAAATTCAAATCTTCAGCTATATGGAATACGACAAACAACATGTTTTAGATTTTATTCTCGCAGGAATTGTGCTAAAAGCCTTTTTATAGAAAAAAAAAGAAACGTCAACTTTCGGCAATGGTATTTTATCCGGCGTGAGAACCAAAGTGTGACGCTATTTCAAAGTTCAAGTTTATTCTGTCATAGTTGTCAATCATCTCTCTGGAAGCAAAATATCTGAATAAAATACTATATTTGTTTTTCTTTATGTTATATTTGCAAACAAAATATATAAAATAAAACAAAAAAATTACTAAATACATATAAATAATACTAAATTCAAATTGAACGACATAAGTAGCAACATCACATGTATTTTTAATACCTTCGAGGCGAATATATTCTTGATCACCTCATGTTGTACCTAAAAATAACTATGATATATAGAATCGATTAGAATTTTATAATATCTTTACCTTAACTATTTTTGCATAATCAATATGATGTACCTGATTCAAAACCATAACCAACAATTTATGTTTTTTTCATTGAATTAAAATTTTAAACTCAATATTTTACCACATGATCAATAGTTGTATTTGAGCATATCAGATCATTATATATACCTAAATAATGCAAAAATTTATATTCATAATGATATTAATATCAAATAAAATCATATATCAGATTCATAAAATAGAAAATCAAGGTCAGTTGCATGAATACTAGTACACAGTGGAGAATGTTGAATTCATTCTAATTTTCTTAAGATTATATGATTTAATTTCTTCTTACGATAACAAAAGATTAACAACTTTTTCGATTACATGTACTAGTAGCTGGATTATAATCATCTTTTCTTTGTAGACTACCATTCATTTTAATTAATATGCAACCAAGAATATCAATAGTATTGTCACAACAAGCACTAACTTGATCAATGTTACCTCTTTCAAATTTTCAACTTTGAATAGCTTGAAAACTTTCGATAGTTTCTGGAAAATACAATAAACAAAACTTATAGATATGTATGAGATGATTAGATATACTTATCAACAGCCACATATATGTAGAATCTCTGGCGTCACGATCTTGATTATATACAGATCCAATTATACCATTGTCATGCCAATTTAATGACGTAGGTATTTTTTAATTTTCGATGGAATCTTTTTTTTTCATTTATTACTGAATTTTTTTTCTTTTATATATTTTAAATCAATGTTGTCCTACGTCAATAGGTCGATCCATTAAATGATTAATTCCAAATTTAAATATTTTATCTTGATGAATTTTTTGATATTCTTGTAGTCGATTAATATTTTCTGTAAAGATTTATTTATGTTCAGCTTCTTCTGTTGTTGGTGAATATGGTTTATTATCATTATGTTTAAATGTTTCTCAATCAATGAATGAACTACTAGTTAGAGTAATGAATAATAGGAAATAAATGACAAGCTAAAATATATATAAATAGAAGATTATTATTGTATTAAACAATTATAATGAAAGACGAATAATTTACCTTGAAATACATTTTGATAAATATTTATATGAATTGAAAGACTCTATATATAGTATTAAAAATAAGACAAAAAATAAATTGCATTAGGATATATGAACAAAATAATGATCTGGTTCTTTATCTTTTATTCTTATCAATATCATATCTTTTTGCCCTTTTGTTACACCCTTATCTAACTATGAAATGATTAACACATATTTATCAGGTCAGAAACGTTTGTTGTTTCGAGTAAAGGACATTATTTTGTTTTTATCGAATAAAATGGATTAGTAATTTCTTATTTAAGTGAGTTATAATAATAAATGTATGTTTTCTTTTTCTGATAAACAATTCAAACATTGATGTAATAATGAACTTTGATTAGAGTCTGTTGAGTCCGATTTACTATCATGATGATTAATTTCTTTCAGATTTATAATAATGAATTGACGATTCATCACAAGTTATAATTCGAAAAATAAAATTATTTCCTTTAGTAGGATAACGTGCCAAAAGTTTATGGCTTGAGAAGAATGTTATAGTTGTCAAAAAGAGTAATACTAAATATTAATATACTGAGTTTTTTGTTTTCGTTAGGACACATGCAAAATCGGCTTTAAAGTTTGCGCGAATAAAATAAGTGAGTGTTACTTGCATAATCAACTAATTTCATTAACTCGGCAATAATCGTGAATTCTATATTATTTTATTGTTATACAATTATGACCAATTACTCTTGACAGCTTTCAACTAAGAAGAAAACAAATGTATTTCTTGATTGTAAGAATTTGCCTTCTATAAAATATTATCCTTCTTGGGCTAATCAAAAACTCTAGTGATTAATTAGTTCAATAAGTCTCTTTTGAATAATCAAACATTAATTCAGTTATAGTAATGTATGAACACTTCTGGCTTGAATGTTTATTATGGCTTCTCATTTTGAAACAACAAACGATTGAGAAAATAACAAATAGCAAGACATAGAACATTTTTAACATGACATCATCAACATGAAAGATTTTTATAACTACTTATAGATAGTTTATTATCCTATTTATGTAAGTTATCTTCATTAAAATGAGATATTAATTTCCTAAATAAGTCTTGTTACCATTTCCATTCCAATAGAAACGTCCACCTCTAGGTCCTTCCATAATTGGTCGATTGTTGGCACTACCACGAGTTGCCATAAACTCGCCTGTAAATCGACCTCCACTACCTCCATGCATTGTAGGACCAGTAGGCATTGCCCTTTGATAAGGCATACACATAGCTGCTGTATTTGGCGAAGGCATATTGCTACCCAACATCATTTGACGCATTCCATTGAACATAGATTCAACATCATCATTATCATCATCATAGTTCCTTCGAGAGCGAGCTGCTGATCGTACTCTTTCTTCATTTCTACTCTACATACACATAGATTGTTAATAGAAAATTAACTTCTTGATTTTAATAATTTAAATTACCCGTTCAATTCGTACTTCTTCTTCTGCTCTTATTCTTCTATCTCGTTCTTCTTGTTCTCGTTTTTCAGCTTTTTTTCGTTCTTCTTCTCGTGCCTAAAGTCATATGAAATAATATAGAATAAAAACTTCTCGATTTAATAAATAAACTTACTTCTCGTTCTCTTTTATCGGCTTTCTGTCGTTCTTCCTCTCTTGCCTAAAATTACATAATATTTTAACGTAATAATAAACAATTTTGTTTTTCTTTTTTTTTTATTTCTAGATAAAACATACTTTTGCAATTAATGCGTCTTCATATTCTTTTTTCTTTCTACGTTCTTCTTCTTCTCGTCTTGCTTGTTCTTCTTTTCGTTGTCTTTCAATTCGTTGATATTCAGCATTTGTATAATAATTTCCATTATTGTTTTGTACCATTTGATCAATCATTTGAAGTAATTGCTTAGTTTTTCTCTTCAATTGTTCACCATTTAATTTATTATTAATAGTAAATTTACGATGTCCACATCTTTGAACTAAATCTTTCAATTCACGAGATCGACTTATAAATTCATCAATATGTTGACCTTCATCCAATTGATCTTCACGTGTAAAAATCACAATACAATATTTTGCAGCACCCTCACCGAATATTTTTTTAATAAAATCTACTGTACTTTTTTCTTCGGGTGAAAAACGATCAATACGAAGAATAATTAAAAAAGCATGTACACCTGGTGATGTCATATTAAAAATTTGTGAAGCAATTGTCTGTTGTACTTGTTGATTTGTTATGTTCTCATCTGTATCAAAAAAGCCTGGTGTATCAACAACCATTATTTGTTTTTGTCTTCCATTAATATCAGTTGACATTGCCGTTTGAACTTCACAATCTCTTGTTACTGAATTAGGTGATTGTGTAGAATAAAATGCACTTCTCGAATGTAATAATGAATTACCAACGGAACTTTTTCCTGGACAAAAAAAAGAATTATATTATTAATTAAAGAAAAAAAATTTTATTTTATATTTTTTTGTCACTGACCATTTCCTGTTCTACCAATTAAAACGATACGTAATTGATCTTGTAAAGAACTCTAAACATTATTGAAAATTATATTTATTTTAAAAATAAAAAAATTTTTGTTCTCTTACCATATCTTGTCTTTGATTTGTTGATCAACCTTACTGAAAAGCAATACGTAATACTCTTGTCAACCGTGTATTTATATTGATTGAAATACGAAGAAAAAAAAATCTATCGTGGTAGTAATTGCATCGGCATCGTTTAAAAATGAAATTACAATCTGATTGGATAAAAGTTTGTAGTTGCCTTGAGTCTCTTTTTTTTCTTCCGCTACTACTCAACACATCTGCTGTCTGTTGACGTCATGTAAAATAAAACAAAAAAAAAATCAATACAGTCACTGGGTATATTTCCAGTAGATAGAAGTTTGTCTACTTAATCTAGAATAATATCGAAATAATTTTATTATTATTGTCACGAAACAAAATGTCAAAAAAATGTCAATTAGAATCAGTACTCAGTTATGGTTCTGAAGGTACTGTATATTCTGGCTCATGGTGTGGTAAAACTGTTGCTATTAAAGTATTTTTAAAGAATTATGTTCGTCGTGCTGAAAATGAAATGAAACTTATCAAAAATTTGAATCATCAAAATATTATTAAATATTTTGATCTTGAATATGAACAAGGAAATGCTTATCTTACAATGGAATATATTACTGGTGGAAATCTTTATGAATTTATTCAAACAAAATTTACTTCATTTTCATATTGGACAATTATAGGTCAAATTTTAATTGATATTGCTCGAGGAATGGTCTATTTACATGATCGTAATATTGTTCAAGGTGATTTAAAAAGTCATAATATTCTTTTACGAGATGGAATTCATCAAGGTGTAATTTGTGATTTTGGTATTTCGAAATCGCTTGAGGATGATATTGGAATAAAGAAACGAAATCAAACTGCCAAAGGTAATTTATATTTGTTATTTTTTTTTACATTCTCGTTGATATGTAAATTTATTTTTAGGAACAATAAGGTGGATGGCACCTGAAATATGTACTCCACCACCAGAGCAATCATCATTTGAATCAGATATATGGAGTTATGGTTGCATAATACTTGAAACTACAAGTGGTCAGGAACCTTGGATTACTCAATTTAATGATGATGCCACTCTTTTTCGAGCTCTTCAATGTAAAGACAATGCACCTGTTTTTGCAAGAATATGTGCTAATCAATTTGGTCCATCTCATATTTGTAAATTGCTTATTGAATGCTGTTCATGGTCAAAAACTCATCGTCCACGTTTTGTCGATATTCTAAATCGTCTTAAAATTGTACATGATGAAAATGTACCGATTGATGAAAATTTTGATCAAATGTCTCTGGATATACCCATCTCGAATGATTCATTGTATTTTAATGAAGATGATAGCAAAGAAATACAATCAATTCGTTCATTACAAAATAAAGACTTAGATGATGATTCTAAGAAAATGTTACCAAAATCAAATCGATCTCAAGGACGTCTTACTGGAGAAGTTTTTACTAGTAAAGGTAGTGCAAGTGGTCGACCTATTTATGAAGGTGTACGTGGTGGACGTTATTATTTAACATCTAGTGGATCTAAAGTCTATTTGCATAAATAAATGTAATCTCTAGAAAAAAATCTTGTTTTATTTGTTGAATATAAATAAAAAAAGTTCTATATATTATTTATATGCTTATTAATCCCAATTCGTATATATATATATATATTTATTAGTCAATAAAAAATTGATTATCATTCAAAAATTAAAAAAAAAAACAAAATTAAACTTCTTCAGTTGGAAATCGATAACTAGTACTTCTTCGTCGAAATTTCATTAATAAATGATTATACATTGAACGTGTATAATTTTCAATTGATTTTTGATTTTGTCCATAAGCATTTAAATATATTCCAAATGCTACAATAGCCCCAGACCATAAATATCTAAATCAAAATTAATTTAATAATAAATAAAAATGACCAAAAAAACATAATCTTACTGAAAAGTAAATGGTTTAGTAAAAGCAATAAATGAGAGTATAATTGTAATTGTCTTTCGAAATGTTGTAACTAAAAAGTCGAATAGATTTTTACAAAATAATATTTGTTTTCTTTTCTTTTCTTTTCTTTTTTTTTTTATAAGAAACAAACCGGTTACAGCTATCAGCGCTCCAAAATGCCGGACTAGATTAAGTACACAATTAACACCGAGATAACCCGCAAATGAATAAGCCATAGTAAAAACATAAGATTTTATTGGATGCTATAAAATAAAAAAAATTTAAATCAGATTTATTTATTTTTTCTCTTAATGAAAAGTTTAACGTACAGCCCACCAAAGCCAAAAAGCTTCCTTCAATGAACCAAATGTTATATCATATAAAAGTAAATAAATAGCACCAATTGAATATGAAAAAAGTATCTAAATAAATTATTTAATATGTTTTAGAAACATATATTGATTTATGAAATTTTAAAAATAGTTATTCAAAATCTACTACTATTAATAAAAGGTGAAGCCAGCTTGTCAGTCATACTTACTTGATATATATTGAACTTTTAGATTTGAAGGAATCTCGAGATACAACGGTGTCACTGCACCATCAAAACATCGATTTTGATGTGCTGCTGTATAGTAGTGCACTTGGGAATATCGCTTAGTGAAGCCACTGAACATGCATAAAAAACTTATGATGATGACGGGTATTTTTTTTTCCCCGTTAATCAGAAGTCTTAATTCTGAAGGAAGGTCACAGTGCTATGATGTCGGTTGTCACCGTAATATTCTTCATATTACTCATTGACTTCATGATGAATTTCATTGTTGCATTTCTAATCATACGGTTATATAAAATAAACAAAAAGAAGAATGATCACTGCTTGATTTTCTAAGATTTAATTTTGATTAGATTTCAAGAATTCAAAATTTTAATGAAAATGTTTACAAAAGCAAACGTATTATTAGCAGTATAATTATTAGTCTTGCTCGATGAGAACTTTTATTGGTTATTGATAGAGATGCAACGGGCAATGATGAATCACTGTTACAACTCTAGGAAAATCTTTTAAGAATATTCCGAATAGAATATAAGCTAATCTCTTCGATAGTCGAAAAAGCAAAAAAAAATCTTTTTCATATGTATTTTATAATAAATATATGTAGTTTTTAATAAATTTATTAGAGATAAAATTTTATTTTCATACCATTTCTGAATTACTTGGTTTATATTCTTTCAATGCTTTTTCTTGTACATTACCGATAACAGCATCAGCAACTAAGGCACAACATACAAGCCATACACCTAAATATAATCATACAAACTAAGAAATATTTCAATGATTTTTTTTGTTGTTGTTGTTTTCTACCTAATAGATCAAATTCAGGTTGAACTTGTGAATCAGCTAATGTAAAAAATATAAGACCAACAGTCATACACAGACAAGCAAGTACATCATACAGATTATAACGTTTTCCTATAGATAACAATACAAAATTGCTCATAAAATAATCACATGGTGCACAAGTTCTGCATTGATTTAATTCTCAACATTTCGTGACTATAACTCGCTGTGAAGACTCGATAGGTTTCTTGTTAGAAAGAGGACAGGCTCTACTATAAGACTAAAAATATTTACTGAAGACTGAAAAGTTCTCTATACGGTTCTGAAATCTAGAAGAAAGCCTTCATAGACTAAAACAGTTAGTCATATTTTCTTTTCTTAATCGGATTTTGTAGTGCTATGGTAGGAAATTGTAAAAAAAAATTAATGCAGAACCTCTGCACTCTTCGTTAATAACATTGAAGTTTATCTTTACCTAATATCAGCATACTACCAATCATAACTGGAATTAATTTACAACTTTTAAACATCATATGAGTTGGATAATTGAGACGCATCACAGCTGCATTACTTAAGCCCATTGTACCAAGAGTAAATAATGCAATTAAAGCATAAGTTGGAATAGGTGCTCTATATACAAATAAGAATTATGTTCCATCCAAAAAAAATTGTCATGACTGATAAGGAAATCTCTACTAATATTAAGTCACGCTTTGACCGAGACGATGTGAATGACTACCTTATTCAACACATATTCACAAAGTCTTAATAGCTATTTATCTCAGATTACATGTTCGATAGTATCCTAATTACATTTTGACACACACCTACTCTTCTGGTGAGTTAATATGTGTAAGGAACTCAAGCAATTAAGTGCAATAACTCTGTGTCAGTCTGATTCTCTGTTCAGATCTATGCGTAGTTATAATTATAGAGAAGATATCAAACTATTAAATGTGTCACAAAATAAATAAAAGACAAGGATATTCGTTCTTCGATTTATGATCAATAGCTAATTATGATATGAATTGTCTTACTTTCGTCTTTTTATTGTTCGTTCAAATATCAAACGTTCTAAATATGCCAAACATGTAAAACATATAAAATAGACAAGTGTAAAATAATTTGGATAAAGTCGTAATGATTTTAATTGTAAAATTAATTCCTATTCAATAAAATAATTTTTTTTTTTTTGTTGAAATATTTCTTATTTTTAGTTTCATAAAAACCTGAATATATCCTTGAAGAACATGAAATATAAGTACAGCTGTTGATGTTAATAAAAATTGTATTAATCGACTATAACCAGATAAATCTACACCAAATAAATAAATTGATGATGATGGTGTATGAAGATTCATCATCATAAAATTTCATTCTATTCGTAATTTACTTTCATCTATAATTGAAAATTTAAATTAATAATAATTTATTAATTTATTGTTATTTTCTTATTAATACGTATTTTAAAAAAAAATGCCTAGATTGGTATGTATTTTTTTGTTTTTGGTAACAAAAAAAAAAAAAAATGGAAAGAATTGAGATTCTTTAATCTAAACAGGTAATACTTTGTTTGCCGTTGGTGTTAAAATATTTGGCCACCAACGATAATTATAACATCTGGAAATAAATGATGCTATTTTAGTATTAAATGCTGTTTGATGTCGACTGTAAACATTGAGATAAATACCAAGAATTACAATTAAACCGGACCAAACATAACTAAACAAAGAATGAAATATATACACATCAATACAAATATGATTAAGAATAGAACAATCAGAAGAAATTATGATTGTTATATAAAAATTTTTGAGTCTTAGAATATTATTACGAGTATATATTAACTAATTTACTCTAATACATATATATTTAGAGTTGACCTCAATTGATAATAATTCCATTTCGAATATTCAATGACACGCACTCTATACCATCGAAAAAAAAAAACGAATATTAAATGTACAAGGTTACAGTCATAGATATGAGAGACAAAGAAAAGAAAAGCATCCGATTTTTTTCTATCTATATTTATAACCTTACATGCTCGAATGACTTCATCTGATTATTTTCATTTTCAAAAAATTTACTTTTGTTTCCTCTATTTATTAATTAAATGAATTTTTAATAAAAAAAATAAAAACTATTTTAGAATTATATTGACTCAATCGTTTACCCTTCTCTTAGGTTAATTCTTATAGAATTAGTCATGAATCTCGGGAATTTTACTAATCGTTTTGTAATATCAAAAAAGTTATAAATTTTAAATTTTCTACATACTCAAAAACAAATGGTTTAGAAAAAAGTGTAAATGATAAAATAATTGTTATCGCTTTTCGACATGTTGTCACAGTAACACAGATTAATGCACCATATTCTTTAATTAAAGTAAGAACAATATCAATGCCTAAATAACCAAATATTGAAAATATTAAACCATAACCATAAGTTGGTAGAGGATGCTAAAAATAATCAAATTCTTCATATTATATATCAAGAGAACAAAAAAAACAGTATGCAAACCATATTCCAAAAATGTAGACTTGAAAAAAAATTATTTGTTATTAATAAACCAAATAAAACAAATCCAAAACCAAATATAAAACTGTAAAAAACGATTTCAACATTTGGTACATGATATTCTTTCATAATTTTTTCTTGATAATTACCAATAGCTGCATCAGCAATAAGTGCAGAACAAATAATTACTACACCTGACAAAGAAATTTTATTTATTAGAATCTTTCTTTTTTTGATTTTATTTTACCATATAAATTAAAATTTGGTTGTACTTTTGAATCAGCTAATGTAAAAAATATCAATCCAATTGACATACAAAAAGCAGCAGCAACATCATAACGATTGAAAGATTTTCCTGATAAATAAATAAATAAAACATAAGTTAAGAAAGATTTACAAGGTTTTTTTTTCGTTTTTGTTACTTTGTATAATAATTCCACCGATAAGAACTGGTATAAGTTTACAGCATTTAAACATAACTTGTGTACTATTGAAAATATTGCTTTTTTTTTTCCTGAGTAAAATAATTTCAATTCAATTCTTACGGATAGTTTAAATAAGCAATTGCATAATTTGATAAACCCATTGTAATTACTGTCAGTGAAGCAAGAAGCATATAAGAAGCATAACTTGCCCTAGAAATAAAAAGTAGTTATTACAATATAACTTTTTTTTACTATTCACAAGAAAATTATTTTATTCTATCTATTTTTGAGATATTATCTAATATAGTTTGTGACGAAGGACATATGTTGCTAGGAATATTTCTCATGATCTATGATGTTTCCATGGTAATGTCTATCATGACTTATGAGGAGAAACAAATATATTTCTATTCTATTAGAACATGTTTTACAAAAAAACAAGGATTTAAGAAATATTTATGAATAAAAGATGAAATACCTTCGTTGTTCTAGACCACTTATACCCAAATGAATAAATGAAAGAATGGCATAAACCAAAAATTGATAACAAGTTAAAAACCAAGCAGTATTATCAAAACCATCTAATGTAAACATAAGTTCCTAAATAAATAATAAAATAGTAAAATTTCTATTTAAAAAAAAAAACAAACTTGTAAATAACCATAAGTTATATAATAAATAAAAACTAAAAGACATAATCCAATAAATCGAGGTGATATGAAAGATGATGATGAGAAGTCAAAAAATCGACGAGAAAATGAAGTATGATGTACTACTAATCGTTCATGTTCATGATGACCCATATTATCTATGTCAGAATTATTATCTATTGTATTTGATTGAGATGTCAATGAACAAGAATCTAAACATAATTATAAGTGACATTTATTCATTTCTAGATATGTTTGCAAAAAAATAAGCTTAATAACCTTGATGCTGATGTATTTTACTGATTTCCATAAATTATTTGTTTTGGCATTGATGCAAATATATCCTTATTATTAACAAGGTTTATTTCTTAACAATCTAAAATTCAACTATTGGTTTATTGTTTCTGTGACAGAAAAAAAAAAAATTTTATCATCATGTTTCTTTAGAATTTTTTTTTTTCACTTACATTTTTTTCTTTATATTTACCATTCTTTTTCTTTTTCCTTTTGCTTTTTTTTGCTCACAATATATTAATGCACATACGACATATACACAGAATCGTAATAGAAAAAAAAAAAAAAAGAAAAAGAAATCTTATTTCGACAAGTAATAAAAAAAAAACCAAGGTACATATATCAATTTTACACCTCAGATCACAAAAAAATACTAAAAAAAAAACACAAACTATAAAGTCACGGTGTACTTTATTCTTGTATACAATAAAATAACAGAACTAAATAGTATACGAATAAAAGAGTAAAAACAAAATGCAATTTGTATGTACAGAAATCCACTGGTATTGGAATGAATTGTACCACCGGTACATCATATAAAAAATATGCATAGAATGGAATGATAATAAAAACAAAATTTCAAAAATTCTTATGTATTAATTATTGGAATGAGAAGTTTGTTGAAGATGAATTTTATGTGTATATACATGATGTAATTCAAGATTTTCATTAAATTCTTGTTTTGATTCATCAATTGTATTTGGTAGAATTAATTTTGATGATGATGATGATTTATTTGATCGTTTACGTCGTTGATGTGAACGTTGTAAATGACGATGATGAGCAGTCAATGATAATGTTGATGATTCAACAGTTGTTATGAATGAATTTGTCGAAATATTTATATTTCGAGGATGTATTGAAGTTAAATTTGGAGGCTAAACATACAACGAAGAAAATTACAAAAAAAACACAATAGTTTTTTTTTTTCTTCTAAAATATCATTAGTCAATAGAAGTTCTATGATGTTTTAATTTTCTTGATAAAAATATGTTCTATATCCTACATGGTGATTCATTGATGTTCTATCATCGTCATCATCATCATCATCATCTTGTTCTTCTACGTCTTCAATTTGTTCCTCAAGTTTATAATCATTAACAAATTTTTTTTGTCGTCTATTTCGTGTTTTCGAAGCAATTTGTTCATAAACACTCATACCTAAAATAATTTGTTTATAATAATAATAATAATAATCATTTTCTTTCATACTCGCATGTTCAATAAGTAAATTCTCAATTGGATTAAAATGATGCACATGAGTTTGTAATTCGTCAGTTTTTTGTATAGACAATGGTTCTATCCAACTATTTGTCATTGAATTATTAGATTTTATTGATGATGGTATTACTACCAAAAACAAAACAAAAGAGCATTAAATTAAATCAATGAAAATATATATATATATATTTACCCGTATCCGAAACAAATACCCAACTATCTTCATCAATAGGTTTATCTGATGACAATTGAGTTTTTGTTGATGATGTTGGTTTAGACCAAAATGATGTAATAGCTTTATACATTTTATGATCAATACAAACACGATCAAGTATATATACTCATGGCTATTTGTAAGATGGGATAAAGAGTAAGAAGGAAAAATGTCTATGTTTTTTTTTTTCTTTTCGTACGAGCACGTGAAACTAAAATAGTAGAAGATTAATAATAATAAAAAAGAAAACAAGAAAAGAAAAAATTGTCTGAAAAAGAGAGAAAGACAATTATTAATTGTTGTACAACTGCATCACATGTTTGTCAAAGGTAAACCAATTGAAAAAACGTCTTTTTCTATTGATATCAGTTGAAAATTCTCAAAAAACAATATAGAATTAGTCATCTTCTTCTTCTTTCTTCGAGTTTAGAAATTAATTTTTATTTACCAAAATAACGACATCTATTATTTAGTTATAAGTTATATGTTGGGTTAGATATATATCCAATTAAATACAAAAATTTTTAAAGATAATAATATTCCAACCTCAAGACAGTCACAATAGAATTACAATACTATGTAAAAACAACAGTCATTGAAATCAAAAGAGATTTCTTTTGTTAATCTCAAAAAAAATTCATCTATGTGTAAATATTAACTGATGAATGCGAGAGATTTCAAAAAAAAAAAAAAACTTCATTATAATAAGTGTAAGATTTTCTAGATTCTGTGCGCTTGGTTCGTTTATTATTTCAAAGAATGGAGCCAAAATTACATGTTCATACAAATGTTGATATTGCGAGTAAATAACATAGCAAAAAAACAAACAAATATAGATATATTCATTTTCTATTAAAATTCATATAGATATTCGTAAACCATATAAAAGATTAGATGAATATTTTGGTACTGAACATCTTGTATCACATGAACCAATGGGACAATTTAAAAAATGGTTTGAAGAAGCTGTTGAATATATTGATGAACCAAATGCTTTTTGTTTATCTACTGCTACAAAGTAAATTTTCTAGATGTTTTTGTTTTTTGAAATATAAATTGGTTTATTAATTAGAGATGGTAAACCTTCGAATCGATTTTTATTAATGAAAGATTTTGATGAAAATGGTTTTAAATTTTATACAAATTATGATAGTCGAAAAGGAAAAGAATTAGTAAGTAAATGAAAAATTTTGAATATTAAGAATTAATTCATTTATAGGAAGAAAATCCATTTGCATCAATGTGTTTCTATTGGCCATCAATGTCACGATCGGTAAAATTTATTTATTTTTTAATGTTTTCTAATTGTTGTAATCTTTAAAAGAACTTTTACAAAACATATTATTTTTCATTCATAGATTCGTATTGATGGTCGTGTTGAAAAATTATCTGATGTTGAATCAACTGAATATTTTAATTCACGTCCAATTGATTCACAAATTAGTGCTTGTATTAGTAAACAAAGTCAACCAGTACCTAATCGACAAGTAATAGAAGATAAATATTTAAAATTTAATTGTTTTTTTTTTTTGTTTTTTTGGGAAAATAGTATTTACTTGATCAACGACAAAAATATATTGATAATAGTTTACATGTTCAAAAACCAGAAAGATGGTATTAGAAATTATTTTATTGATTTTAAAGTTATAAATCGTTTTCTGAAAAAAGATAATTTAAAAATGCTTTAAACATATAAATAATTCATAATTTCGTATTGCTTTTGAGAGTGTAAGCACAGGGAAAGTAGAAAATTTCTATTGACTTTTTCTAATGTCTTATATTTTCATATGTATTTTATTTTTTGTTTAGGGGTGGTTTTCTTGTAATACCACATACAGTTGAATTCTATCAAGGTCAAACAAATCGATTATCTGATCGTATACAATTTCGTCGTATTTCATCTGAATCTGATAAAAATATTTCAATAGATTCAAATGTAACACATCAAGGTACTCATGGTTGGATATATGAAAGACTTTCACCATGATTAAAAACTAATGATTATATTTATTATTTAAAATTAAATTTTAATATTTGATTGAATTTATGAGTAATTTTTTTTGCTTTTCTAAATAATTATAGATATAATAATATTATGGAAAATTTTCTTAATAATACAAATGATCATAATTCAAGTTTTTTTCAACCACCAAGACAAGATGATGATTTTGATACATTAATTGAACAACATTCTCCAATAACAACAACAACAAATATGGAAATAGAAAAATTACCAATAAATAATAATAATAATAATACATTAGAAGAATCAATTATTACAAATAATCGTTCACATTTAAATATTGATGAAGAAGCAAATATAAAATTACAAGTTCTAGTATCAAATTTTAGTGATGAACAATTAGATCGTTATGAAATGTATCGTCGTTCAGCATTTTCAAAAGTTTCAATCAAACGTTTAATGCATACATTAACAGGTACAGTACCATCATCAAATGTTGTTATAGCTATGGCTGGTATTGCTAAAGTATTTGTTGGTGAAATTATTGAAGAAGCTTTAGAAGTTCAACATCAAGAAAATAATAATAATAATAATGAACATAAACCAATAACACCACTTGAACCAAAACATATACGTGAAGCATATAGACGTATTAATACTCAATATCATTGTCCACAAAGAAAAACATGGAAATCAAAACGAAAATCTAGATTTTAATAATAAAATTTAAAAAAAAGAAAAGAAATCATGTATAATAAATAATTAATTTTCTTTTTTTTTTTTTTTTTTTGTTTTTTTTTTTTTTCAGATGAAATTTGATGATGTACAAAAAATTTTCTATCAATATATTCATCGACGTTATCATCGTTATTGTCGAGAATTATTTGCACAATTGATATGTTTAAATTTAAATATTAAACCAGCTTATTTATTTGATTTATTTCCATTTTCAATAGAAAATATGAGAAATTTATTAAATAGTTTATCAAATTATTTATCATTTCGTTCAATTATTCTTAAATATTCATTAAATGATATTATTATTATGAATTGTTCACAATTATCAAAATTAATTGATCCATCAACATCAGTTATTATTATTGATTTGAATACAATGATAACAACAGATTGTCATCCTATGTTAGATAAGGTAATTAATCACTCATGAGGAAACTTACCTATCTGAGCAATTACTTCTGATTCAAGACTATATGCATTGATGTAGATTTCACTGAATTTTGAATACTCTAAGAAGAACTGAGGTCCATCAATGTTTCAGAAATACTAGCAGAACTTAACGAGAATAGCTTATGGTGAAAGTTTCAGATTCTAGTCGATATTTGAAAATAAGCTTCCCTCGTGTTTCTGGTGGAGACTGCAGTATTGACTTGTAAAAATGCAGCATGTCAGCTGCGATAAGCTAAGGACTCGAACTGTTTTCAGAGTATTCATAGTTTATTCGAGTCGACATGAGGCAACAACAACAACAAAGTTTTACTGATCGTAGAGCAAGAGTTGAAAAATATTTGCTATCAATTTATTTTTCGAAGTTGAAAATTTTTGGTTTCGAGTTCGATTGAAAACAATAAAAAGTGAAAATTTTAGATTCGTAATCATCTCTCTTGGATCGATACTCGACAAAATCAACAAAACGATTTTGATAATGAAACAAATGAAGAATGGTCTAGTTTAATTCAATCATTAAATCATACCACTGTTTTTGGTTATATTCTTGGTTATCCACTTATTTATTTTTATTCATCAACATTATTAATAAATGTCACTACATTAAGAAATTTTCGTTTATATGTTAAAATAAATGATTACAATGATGAAATTTTACTGTATTCATTTTCATGTCCTGTTCATTCAAATATAGATCAAAAACAAATTGAACACACTATAAATGATTTCTTTTCATCTTTATCGATGAAAATGAATTCAAATCCTACGATAAAAAATTATCATTTAGATAACCAAATTAAAGAACAATCAACTTGGTGTCTCTGAAATTTGCTGTCTCTTTTTCTTTCGAATATTAATCATCGTTCAATGAAACATATTTTAAACGTAGGACATACTATGAACAATGGGAGACTAATAATTTTAAAAGAGTTTCTTGAAGCTAAAACAATGAAATTAGTAAAATCCATCAAAGATCTATCCATAATCGTCTGATATGTACCCTTCGACTATCGAATACAATTAGTTACATCTTAATGACATTTTGTAATCAATATATTTCGATAATATGTACAAATATACAATGCATATTATTATTTTGGTGATATCACTTATAAATCTCAATCACATTCTTATCTACGTTAATTAATATTATCGAAAACAATTGGTATAACTGAAATGATACAAGATGAAATCAAAACAAGTTTCTTTGATAGATGATTTACTTCGATATAATTGGAATCATTTTACAAAACTGCTTTTCTTGTTTGTCTACTTGTTATTCATTAACCAATGCGATTTAATCGCACCAAATGATGTTTTATTGCTACACCATGTTGTACTCAAACATTAAATGACATAATTGGACTCTATCAAGAATTAAAATTAGATAACGTTCAAATGCAGAAAAAATAGCATAGTCCGAATAATTAACTAAGATATAAAATGATTGATTGTTCTTAACAGGAACATATTATTATTGTTAATGAAATTCTGTTTGAATAAACTATTTTTAATTTGGATTTCAACATCTATGTCGAACCTTAATGTGATTCAATATCTAAAGCTATATACTAAAAGATGTCTCCCTACACTAGAAGTGACTTCAAGGCATACGACTCTGATTCAAAGATTTTCTCTGCTTCTTATTGAGCCAAATGAATAAAGTATATTTAGAACATCAAATCAAGCGGCTAGGCTGCTGAAGTAGAAAGTAGAAGTGATTCGAGAAACAAAACAAATGAACATTAGCTGCGATGTATCATATACTTGTTCATCGTTTATCTCAAGTCTTTAAAAAAGAAGACTGCCAAATATTCATTGCAAACGCTATAAACATCATCGTGAAATATTGTTATTTTTTTTTAATTTTTTCCGCACAATATAATCTTTATTTATTGATTGTAGCTGCTATCGATATCTTAAACATCTTCAAAAAATTGCTTATACAAAAATGATGTTGCTGTAGTAATAATTAAGTGAAGTTTTAGTGCACCGTTCATTCCTATGATATTAGTTTTCTATTTTTCTTGTGATCATGACTTCGGTTTAGTATTACGATACTGAATTACACACTAAAATGAGGGCTAAATAACCTACTGAGAATAAATAAACTAGGGTACACATATATCTATGACCATAACAATAGCAAAAGTTCATAGCATACAAAGTAGGGAGGATAAATCTGTATTAGGGAGTGCAAATGTGTTGGATCACAAGGAATCCAAAAACTACATTAGGGTGTGATTTGAGTGTGGGTGTGGGTGAAGAGTAGATCAACGCTCACACCCACACCCACACACACTTTGACATCAAGCAGTGAAATATGAAAAGTATAAAGTTAGCGAGAAAATTTTGAAAACTTTCTTTCTCCTTACATCCTTATGTTTTCGAGTTGAAACTTTCAAATGACTGAGGCCACTACTTAGGATAGACACAATAAAAATCTCATACTAATGGGTCTTTTCTCGTTCAAGAAAACTAAGATTCAGAAGCATAATTCAAACTTATGCTTATAACTTGATAAATTCGTAACATTTCCTCCAAGAAACTGGGACTCAAACTAACTTAGGATATTTTACTTCTAGCTATGCTCTATCTAACCATCATATCCACAGCCGAAAAGCTTTTTAGCATTTCGAGAGGTTCCCTCGTTAGTCGATACTATGTAATAATCAACGAAGATATGATGTTTTATTGAAAAAATCATGAAGGGTCTGGCTCTCGGTTCTCATTTCATTTTAGCAACACACCCACACCCACACCCATCTTCAAATGAAATTTATAATTCGATAATTTTGCTGGTTTTTGAGAGAGATCAGCTGCACCGCATTTTAGAAAAAGCAATGTCAATTTATGTATTGCATTTAACATGATTTTTATTGATAGAGTAGGGTGTGGTTGTCGATGTGTGTGATATATAAGTAACACAACAATCATCTATTCAAAACAAGAAAAAATATATTATATAAGAAAAGAGCTAAACTCAATTTAATACAACAGAAACAAAAGCGTTCAGATTTATTTCAGAATATAAGGACATTGACTATGCTACTTAATAAAGTCAGACCAATGATGTTGTGTATATCATAATTGATGTCTCTACATTCTCTCTTGTTTGATGAGAGAACGCTATCATTTTTATCACTGGACTTTTTTCTGTCATTCAACAATATTTTATCAACGTTTATAGAGATAAGAAAAACAAAACGAATAACTTATGCGATATGGAAAAAAGTAATGAATACGTATGTATATATATGCTCTCTGTCGAAGTCCACCGAAAATCAAGTTAAATTTTTCTTCAAAAGCTGAAGTAATTGGAAGATAGATTGTATAGGATTAAACATGTCTGTTAAATATTTCACATTCGAAATAATTGCTCTTTGATTAACGATATCGGGTAATCATTCTTCTTAGATCGCTTACTTCTCACGGTGTTTGAAGATGTATATGTGCCTAACTGTAACACGCAGCTTTAAGAACGCGTGTCTGATACAGATGTAATCATACGAGTTGATTAAAAGGCTCACCAGAATCGCATTCATATTTATAATTTATAAATCAAATTATAATTCTAAGAATCTTCTTTTTTGATAGTGTAAGTATTGAACGAAGTTTTTGTTTCCACATATTTTCGAATACATCTTATGTAATTCGAGCCTACCTTATATCTAAACTCGATTTTAACCAACTGTTGTTGCCACTGTATTGAGGCGCGGTGTGAATGCAAGTGTGTTTGTAAGTAATTCATCAGCCCATGTGGGTATGGATGTTGGGCTTCAGTTTGCAAAACGAAATCCACTAACATATCAAGGAATCGAATAGAAAAACGAAAGAAT